TAAAGACAAACTCTTTAAACCTTCTTTTGATGTCAAGGTAAATACTTTGAAAATCTTGTTCATGTTGTAAATATTTGAGAAAACAGTTAACTGTGGCTGTTATAATGTAACTATCAATAAGTATGAATTTGTTAGTTCTAATTTTGCTTTTAATTTCAAAGCAAATGCTTAGTTTTAATATTAGGTTACTTTTTATATCTGTAGTTATTTATTTTACTTGAATGAATATTTTGTAATATGGGTAGTTTATTTTTCAAGTTTGTATTATAACATGACATTGATGTGATCATGTTGTACATAAGAGTTGATAAAAGTTGTCCTTTATATAGAAAATTAATAATATGTTCTAAAGTGTGTGTATTTGTTGATTATGAGCAGAATTAGAATATATTCTTCAATTTAGCATACCGGCAAGGGCTATATAACTGATTTGCTTTTCTCCTTCTGGCAAGAAAGTTTGTTTCATTTGTACTTCAACTTTTATGTTTTCCTTTTATGTTAGAAAAGCTCCAAATGGGGTTGATCCAAAATTTGTGCTTCCTTGTTTCATATACTTTTATTCCTTACTTCCAGAAATGAGTATGTAGTAAATGATGTGATGAATCCCAGTCTTCTCTTAATTTCCAGTCAACTAATTTGTTTATACCTGGGAAGTTGGTATTCTCTGGACCTCACTGGCTTTGAAGTGTTATAGTGAAACATTTCAATTATTTTGCAATTTCTATTTGAAATCATTAGATTTCTTAATGAAATTAAGAATGAATTTTAATTGAATGTATTCTGACAAAATCTATATTTAATTTAATATATTTTTCTTTACTTGTTGCAAAAATAATGATCATAGTTGTCTTATCAGTTTATTTTATAAAAATGTCCATCAACTATTGCCTCAAATCACATTTTAATTATACATTCAATATTATAAATCATCACCAGAACACTAATGATATGCAGAATTTTACATAAACTCTAGCATAAGTTCCATCATTTCTCTAGTATCAACAGAAGTCAGAAATGCCTTGAAACAGCCAAGTTGAGCTTTTAAGCTGCTGTGGCTATTTCATGCCATGTTCTTAATTTACAGCATTCATTTAGTGACTGTTCAGAGTTATAACGGCACTGAAAAAAGTGATTTATGACCATTTTTCACACTTAACAACCGTTGCAGTATCTCCGTGGTCACATGATCAAACTTCGGACGCTTGGCAACTGGCATGTATTTATGATGGTTGCAGTGTCCTGGGGTTATGTGATCACCTTTTGTGACCTTCTGACAAGGAAAGTCAATGGGGAAGCCAGATTCACTTAACAACTGTGTTACTAACTTAACTGCAATGATCCACTTAACAACTGTAACAAGAAAGATTGTAAAATGGGGTGAAACTCACTTAACAATTATCTTGTTTAGAAACAGAAATTTTGGGCTCTGTTGTGGTCGTAATTTGAGGACAACCAATAACTCTCTACTATAATTGAGTACATTTCATCACAATTTATGATGTAGGAAATTAGAATAATTTAATAATATTTATCTATTTTGTAGCAATTACATAATTTTTCAATATCCTTGAGGGCTTATAGCTTAATAGGAGCTCTTGTTCTAAATTGAATGATGACTTTCCTTATTCTTGTAGGTAGCTTAGTTTGTCAATAAAACTAACAGATTTTATTTTGGTCTGGATAAAAACTAAACTTTGTTAAATCTTATAATATAAAAGCTTCTGTGATATAACTTGATTGGATATTTTACATAATTAGAAGAATAAAACAAAACTTTTATTTATTAGATTAGTTTATGAGAAACATTTTGAAAATACAATCATTAATGCTTTTTTATTATTATTCCTATCCTCTAGGATGCTTTGGCAGCTTTGGAAACTCCAGGTGGTCCTAACCAGGGAAACACAAATCTAAGTACTCCTCTTTCAGAAGTCATTGGCAGGAACTTAAAACTAGCTTTGGCCAACAGCACACGTCAAACCGTTGCTCTCACTGCCAGTCCGCAGCTAAAAGCTCCAAGTTGGCAAAGGGTGAGCTTAGCATTTAGTTTCATGATATAGGTATGGAGTCAGTTAGTGGAACTTCATTTGTTCTTGGCAAATTGTTGTCTCCTGAAATGCATTCATTATATAGTATATAATTTTTATTAAGAATTTTCATTACACTATTAAGTATTAATAAAAACTAAACTTGGAAAAAGAGAATAGAAAGAAAGAATAAAAAATAGGCTATCATACATAAAAAAGAAATATATGAAGAAGTGATTCAAACCTTCATTAAAACAAATAGAAAAGCAAATTATTACTCTTCAAACCCTATAAGGTTAAACAAATATATCTTCATCTCATATATCATCCCTTATACATAAACAAATCCATAAGATATTAGCCTTTGAATCCCCAGATCAGCAAAAAATCTATAAAGGATTACTGGAAAATTGCAACAAATATTTTTAAACAAATAAGTTTACAAATCCTAGTTTTACAATACTTCTAGCAGTCTTAATCTTTAATTCAGTCAAATATTGTTATAAGATTTGATTTTACTTCTTCTTTATCCCATCACACAGATATCTTCAAGGCTTTAACAAGCCTTTTGTAAATCTAGTAATTTGTATTTTAATATTTTAAAACTTCAGACTCTTTCTTTTATATATCCAGTAAAGCAAATCATTTTCTTGTCCTGTCATCTTTAGTTCCACATTCCATATTTTATCTTATCAGATAAACATTGTTCCACATATGTCTTTCCTTCATTATCTCATTCTTTTATATATATATATACATAGAAGCAAACATTATTATTGATAATGTTGCTATTGTAGTTATTAATTTTTGGCTTCATTCTTCAAAGTATTTTTAATAGTTTGGATTTCATAATTTTCAATTTCATTCTGTAAATCCTAGTGTTAATTGACATCAGATTTCATATTTTTTTCTCCTTAAAATCTCTCCTGTAGTGCCTAATTTCTAAATTGTCACCTATCTTTTGTTATGACTTGCAGTTGCCATTATAATCAAAATAAATTGTTTCCCCTCAAGTTTTTTTTATAATTAGTTCCAAAATCTTATAGTAAAAGTCTTCCAAATTTATCTGGCTCCTTAATCCATTTATAACTTTCTTAGATCAAAATCTTTTTTTTTTAATGTCCAAGTTTTTTATTAATTTTCCAATATTGCGTTTACATATTTGAAAAGTAGCATGGTGGTTGAGCATTGTAATTCCATTACATTTAAATATCATCAGTACAAATCTCAAAGTATTACAACAACAAATTCCCTCTATTTCCCCCATAAGATCTACTATCATATTCAGATCAATACAGTTCTTTTTCTATCAATCAAACAAAAAATACCTTTCTAATATTCATCAATAATCTTTAGTCTATACATATCTTAATTAATTTGACATTCCATCTTTTAGACAATAACCTAATAAGTTTTTCTTAACTTTAATTTTGCATTAATATTTAAATTTAACATTTAATCTTTATCATTTCCAGATTTTAAATGATCCCAATTTCTCAGTCTTCTATATCATATTTAGGGCTAATAATTTTTCTTTTCTTTTCCTTTTTCTATTTCTTTCCTTTCTTCCTTTCCAGAAAAAAAAGAAAAATAAATAAATAAATAAATAAACCATCAGCATTTATACCACAAGCTAATATACGAATTTAATTATTAGTATTTATACTTCTACGTTTTATTTAACCTGTGTCTCAACTCATGACAATATCTTAAATTCAAGTCTTAGTTATCTATAAACATTCAAACTTTTAGAAATCAGTAACCTGGTAATTGATTTTCCCTTAATATTTTAATTTAACATTTAATATTTATCTTTTTTCCAAATTTTAATTAAACACGATTCCTTTGTCACAATTCCTCATATGATCTAATATTTAAAATACAGACCTTATGTGTAAAATCTATCATATATCTTAACAAACTAATAAGACAATATAATATTCTTATTTCGATATTTATATTTCTAGATTTTATAAAACCAATTTTTTATCTCAAATCATTACAATATCTTATATTCAAAATACATATTCTATCCATTTAAATATATTCTATTTTAGATCTCATATATAGATCAAAACCCCAATCCCTTTCAGTCTAATTCTAGATTTTTTCCTCTGCCAAATCATCTTTCGTATCTTCGCTTTTAAATCATCAAAAAGATCTCCTTGTATTGTTGTAACTATTGTTTGATATTGATAAAGGTGTTCAGTTGCTGTTTTCTTAAGAGGGCTAGCTGGTTTAACAGGTCGACTCTTTATTTTTCCAGTTCGATGCAGTTATTTCAAAGTATTTATCTTGTTTTTCATCTGTTTTTCTTTTTTGTCTTCAAATTCCTTCTGGTTTATAAGAAAAGTCTTTTCCTTGTTCTCTATTATCAGCTTCCTTCCCATGTTTTCCACAGTTTGTATTTGTTGAGTATCTAAGTCTTCTGTCATAACATTTGGTTGTTTCCCCTTCTCTATATAATTCTGTATAGATGATTCTTTAGTTGAAGTTATAGTTTGAGCTTGCATACGGAGAGTTTGGATAATTGCTTTTAACATATAAAGAATTTGTTCCTGTACTTCCTCTGTGGGAGAAATCCATTCCTGTTCTTCTTCCATTGTCGTATATTAAACTAAACAAAAAACTTACAATCAGAAAGTCTACCAAGTAAAAAGCTGAGCTGAGTTTCTTGCTGATGGTGCTTCAAGGTTACTTTGTATCTTATCTGTTTTTAAGGCAATCAACAAGTCTCTCTTAAAGAATAGCAGGTTACAGTCTCAAATTTAGCCAGCAAATGTCATCTCAGAGTTAATTAGATCTTTTCAGTTTTCTTTTCCCCCTCTATTTTAAGGGGGAGAAAAAGAACCCAAATCTTCAATAATAGAGTAAAAATCATAGAAGAAGAAAAAATAGAGAACATAAAGTCACAAGTCTTATAATCCACCAATTTTAAAAAGTAGAATTCCAATTAGGATCCCAGTATTTTTCCCAATGTTTTAGACTCCCAAGTGGTTGATACCTGCTGTTTCTGGAGAGAGGGCTAAAATCCCCCTTCCCTCACCACAGGGGGGAAAGTACTTTAGCAGCTTATGCAGGTAATTAAGTAATTAGGATGTAAGAGAGGCAGATCTCACCCAATCCTTTCCATGCTGCTTTGAAGTTGCCAGATGTTAATGTGACTTCAGCTGTTAGCAGCCTAGGGACAAGCCATATTTCTATGGCCGGTCTTTTTGTCCACCAGTTTGGAGGAAATGCCAGGTCTCACAGGAAAATTGCTGCTCTCTTGTGATCCAGCAAAAGCCCCTCCTCCTGGTCGCTTCTCCGGGGCGATTTTTGGCCCTTTTCAGGGCCCCCCAGCGATGCAAAATTGAACAGGGGAGAAAGAGCAGATCTCCCAGCCGTCCATGGCGGCTGTGTGACGAAACCGGAAGCCCTTAGATCAAAATCTTATTTAGCTTTTTGCTCTTTACTTCAAACTCTTTAAGTCAGGGGTTCCCAACCGGGGCTGCGAGATGATATTCCATGGGATGCAAAAATTTGGTTTTTCAAAATTATAGTGTATATGCATAATTCGTTGCCGTTATTTCGAACTTTTGTAAGGATTGCGAGAGTATATCAGAAGCGTTCTAGGGGTGCAGGGTATAGAAAAGGTTGGGAGCCAGTACTTTAAGTTATAAGCTTGTAATCAATTTTTCTTTTGTTTAGAGTTCTTAAACCTGTCATTGTGAATTGTCTCTAATTTAAACTTGGAATATGGGAAGTGACCTTGGGGAAGATGGGAAAGGGGTGCTGCCTGGGACACAATCAGACAAGAGAAGGATCCCCAATGGCTCAATGGTCAGCTGCTTTGGAAGGATCCACCCTAAGGGGTCAAACAGTTAAAATTGGCAGTGGGAAATTTTCTACTTTCAGACCTACAAGTCTGTTAATGCAGCTTTACAATAAAATAGCTCATCTAGTTGTCTATCCTGTCTGGTTTACCTAGAATGGCTCATATAGGTTTAGAATAGCTAATAGGCAATTTTTGAAGAGAATTAGAAAATGAGATTTGTGAACTTAGTGTCCTTTAAAAGGCTCTGCCACAGGCATGAGCAAAATGGCTGATTCCATTGTCTTCCAGTACTCAGAAATCATGGGAAATCACTATTCTATAGTCTTACGAGGAGCAACTATCTGGAGGACATATGGGTGATCTCCCATCCTTTTATTATTTGGAGAGGATTCTACTCACCGGTTCCTTAGTTTTTGCTGTGGTTATCAGCTCTGCTTTTGCAGAACTATTTTCAATTTGCCATATCTTCACTGGAAATTTCAGAAGTAAGCATATCTGAACTGTGAGAAGAAAAATATAATTATTGTTATGAAGGCTTTCTTAGCTTTGTGTTGGCCTGCTTGAGCTTCAGCTTTCATAATTCCCCATTTTTGGCCATATTTCTGAAAGTGTGTTGGAGAAGTGTAAATTTTCATACCTTTGGATAATTACAATTCTTGAGTCATGTAGGGCAGATTTTTTAAAAACAATAAACTTTATTACATCATAATATGAACTGAGTGGGCAACCATTATGCATGCTTCAGTGATCTGCTATAATATCACTTTGTAAGGACGTTTAAAAATAAAATTAAGGGTGTTTTTTTAGCCTTAATTATACCTGTAGTATTGAAATTAGCTTAATTATGAAAAACAAGGCAGTTCTTGATAGGAATTCTGAAAATTAGTGGAGGATGCTCTTGAGTCTGGACATTTTGAAAAAAAGTATATGTGAGCCAGATAGTATATGATTTTACATTTTGATGAGTAATTTAGGAATGAAATCCCTCCGTACTGATGGTCCAGTTCATTTCACTGCTAGCCTTCTTAAGAGCAGCCTTTCTCAGGAGGGGTTTCCTCTGTCACCCAAAAGAAGAATTTAGAGTAAGTGATAGAGTAGTGATGCTACTGACACAAGACTTGAATGTTATTCTTCCTCTAGTGATGTCTGAGGACAGTGTTGTAATAGCTAGCAGTGCCATTTTTGTTTGTTTTTTTAAACTTAGCACAGGGGTAGGCAATCTTGGCTCTTTTATGACTCGTGGACTTCAACTCCCAGAATTCCTGAGCCAGCTTGGCTGGCTCAGGAATTCTGGGAGTTGAAGTCCACGAGTCATAAAAGAGCCAAGGTTGCCTCCCCTGACTTAGCACAATGGAGCTATTTTATTGAAAGAAATAATTAAATGAATCTCCCCTTTACTTCCTTTAAATATTAGCTTTTTAAAATACAGAGTTGTGTAAACAATTGAATGCTGGAAACTTGAAATGTTGAAAACTCAAATGTTCAAATATTTTTCCTAACTTGAACAGGAAGAAGAATCAAAACCTTTAGTGAATGTTGTCATCTGTGTGAGTAAAAAGCTGAGTAAAAAGCAGAGTGAATTGAATGCTATTGCTGCATCTCTTGGAGCTGATTACAGGTATATAATAATAATAACAACAACAACAATAATAATAATAACAATAATGATAATAAAAAAGTTGGAAGGTACCTTGGAGTTCATCTAGTCCAACCCCCTGCTCAGGCAGGAAACGCTATACCATTTCAGACAAATGGCTGTCCAGTCTCTTCTTAAAAACTTCCAGTGTTGGAGCATTCACAGCTTCTGGAGGCAAGTTGTTCCACTGGTTAATTGTTCTAACTATCAGGAAGTTTCTCCTTAGTTCTAGGTTGCTTCTCTCCTTGATTAGTTTCCATCCGTTGCTTCTTGTCCTGCCTTCAGGGGCTTTGGAGAATAGCTTGACTCCCTCTTCTTTGTGGCAGCCCCTGAGATATTGAAACATTGCTACATGCAGCTGTAAGCTAAATAAATAGCAATATAGTCGTTAGAATGACTATAGATTTAAATTTTAATAGCTCTAGAAGTTCAAATGGACTATATAATATTGTAATTCATTTTACATAATCTTTAATGATAGTGCAGAAAATTAAACATGAAAATATTAGAATTATATAATATTTTATAATATTGCTGAATATACATTAATATTAGTATACTAATCAAATACTAACATTTTTTCATATTATGGAATTACATTCAATTTTACATTAGATCCTCCTTGAACAGTAGTCCTAAAAAAATATCTAGAATTTATTTAAATTTATTGTAATCTTCCTCTCTTGTTGGCTTACAAAATACACAAACAATAAAAGTTTGGCAGCCCAGACTAAAGTAACAATAAAAATAGCAAACCATACCACACTGGGATCAGAGCCAGGTCTTATGGGCTTTCAGAACTGTCTTTGCCTCTCATACAAAAAAAAAATGTATGCTTCTTTTGTCCTAACAATATTTAATATATGTGACTTGGAGAATATCTACTCTGCTTAAACATATACGGCAGGAAATAACAATTTGAATTGTTAAGGACTGTATGGATTTTTTTTACTATATGCATCAGAATATGTATCAGAATATTATTAAAAAAAATTCAATAGATGTAAACAGGTAATGGCCCAATTTATTATAACAGAAATATTCACTTATCTAGGTGAATTCTGCTATGTGCAAATTAATTCTCTCCTTCTGAATTAGCAATTATTTAACAAATATTGATTGTGTGCATTTATTCTAGGTGGTGTTTTGATGAAACTGTAACACATTTCATCTACCAAGGAAGGCAGAATGATAACAGCCGGGAATACAAATCTGCTAAAGAAAGAGGCATATACATTGTTTCAGAGCATTGGCTCTTGGAGGTAGGGATAGCCTTTCTTTTTGATGCTAAAGTGAAGAAAATGTTTATTTCGTTTATTTATTATTAATTATTAAATGTTATGCTTTCCATCTCACCGATACAGCAACTCTGGGCAGCCTAAATATAATAAAAAGGTAAAAAAGGTACTACAGAACAGTTAAAATTAAAGATTAAGCCAAGAGGATGGGCAGCATGGGGATCTTCTTTCAGAGGCTCTTCTAGATTCTGAAATTCTTTGGCAGACAAGATCGGCAGTTGGCCTCTTCCTTTGGCATGAGTGGGATGGCTAATCCCATTGGGTGAGACAGCTGTTCAGATACCTGAACCCATACTATAAAGGGCTTTAAAAGTAATGACCAACACCTTGAATTGGACCTGGAAGCAAATTGGCAACTAGTGCAGGTGACATAACAGCAAGGTGAGGGGCCTCTAGAAGTTCTGTGCCACTGCATTCTGTACCAGTTATAACTTCTGAATACTCTTCAAGAGTAGCCCCATGTAGAGCATGTTGCAGTAATCCAGCTGAAAGATGAACAAGGCATGGGTGACTGCATGCAGGGCCTCACAATGCAGGAATGGGCTCAACTGGGACAGAATATGAAGTTGTGCAAAGACTCTCCTGGCCACAAATGCCAACTGCCCTTCGAGCAGGTATTGTGAGTCTAAGAGAACCCCCCAGTGTAACCCCATCCAGAACTAAAGATGATAAACTCCCAGATCCCCAGATCTTTTGAATCCACAGTTATGTAGACGCCCATAGCCTCTGAGCACTGCAAGAGAGCAGCTGCAGCATCACTTGGATCACCATAGATGGAGATGTAAAGTTGACTTAAATTAGAATATTAATGATACCTCATCCCATGATACTGGATGAACCCATTCAATAGTTTCAGATTGATGTTAAAAAGGAGACGAGAGAGAGAAAGAGAGAGAGAGAGAGAGAGAGAGAGAGAGAGAGAGAGAGAGAGAGAGAGAGAGCACCAAGCCCCCAGCATATCACAAAGAAGTGGTTGTGGACTGGATCTCTTGCTCACTGTTAACACCAATTGGGACCAGTCCTGAAGAAAGATCCTCTGGAATTGCAGTGCAACCATTTTTTCCATCACTTCCCTAAAAAGAAATTGTCCAGGCAATGGAACCTATGAAGGTTTCTTGAGAACAAGTTGATGAAAAGTTAAACTGAGGTTTTTATTAGCAGAAAGGATAGAGATAAGAGATATGGTTTTATCTCAGTTTATTATTTGTCTCCTTCTACTATAGAAGGTTTGCAGAGTATGCACTTGAGGTTCAGAGGAAAGACTGCAAGCAGGAAAGGGATGGTTTTGGAAATACTTTCATCTGCAAAGTTCTGCCAGATCAGAGAAGTGTTTAAAAAAACTTTATAAATATAAAATAAGATAGCTGACATTTTGTGTGTAATTTGCATGTATTTCTGAACTAGGCATATATTTTATACATGCTGCATTGCAGTTGTAGACCATGAATATAAAAATACAATGTTTCATTAATTTGGCTCAGGAGAAAAAGGTCCTCTGAACAGTTTCTCTATATTCTCTTCTTGCAGAAATATATATTTTAGCCCCATTGTGTATAAAATGTTATCATGTATAGGTGGAAAGTTAAGATTTATGTGACATTCTTTAATTTGCTGTAACTTTTTCTTACTTCCTTAAGGAAAAAGATATAGATTTTCACAGAGCCCTGTTATTTTTTACGTTTATGCTCCATCATCTGATAAGCAACTATTGTTTGTCAGAATAACTCTTAAATTCTGTAGATTTTTCTATTATTCAGTACAATTGCTATTTATAGTAAATGTTACGGTGTTTGGGGATTTCCAGGTAAATACTTTGCACACAACCTTTGCTTTGTTGCTGTTCTCCTAATATATCTAATGAAGCACTGTTCTAAAAAGATAAAAATAGATGCTGTTAAGTGAGAAATGAAATTTCTGAATCAAAGGATGTTTTGTCTTTGAGTATTATACAGTGCAAAAACTTGGTTTTGAAGGGTAGTACACACTTGTTTAAATTAATATTTTAAAAATAAATCTGTTGCAAAATTATCTCAGGGACTGGAGTCTAGTGGAATCTTTACTAATAGAGAAGCAAGTGAAGCAAAAATGATCTAAGATCTCATTCTAATTCACAAACACATCTTTTTTTCCTTCCTCTTCTCTAATCAGTGGACTGCTAGGGAAGGGTATTATTTGCACAGATAAAATTGGGTCAGAAGCCACATATTGTCACTTCCAAAGTGAAAAAAAAAAATCTCTTTTTTAAAGAGCCATACAGTACGACTTCTTTATATGTCTGCTTATTTTTATGTCCCTTTTAAAGAAAAGGCCATAATTTGCCCATCCCAATTCCAAGTATTTTGTTACTTGTTTTACTTTTATTCTAGACATCTTATGATAGCTGTGAGTTTCAGAAAAGGTAAAGAAGCAAGGTTCATAATGGTGGGAATTGTGAGAAGCCACTGATTAATCTGAGACCTTAAACATGACAGAGGTTTAAGGGGTTGGGAATTGCAGAATAGTGACTTAAATTACCTGCATTGGAAACAGTTTATCTTCTGTACTTAAATGAAGGAATTCTGTGTTCCTTGTTCAGCAGCAGCTGCAGTGACAGCAACAGTAGCAATAGTATAATGGAGATAATGATTTTGCACAATTAAGGTCTTAATATTTTTTTTACTTTTGCTTCCTTTCCTTCCTCCAAAAGATAAAATTGGAAAGATGAGATAGGGAACTGAAATAAATTGTTTCTTGCATTTCATCATTTTTGGGCTGTCTCTTACTTTTTCTAATCTCATGCATCTGATGAAATGAGCTTTGATTGGTAATTATCTAGGTCACTAAGTAATTCATCTTTACTGGAGCTTTCCATTGGGAAACAAAGTAATCTTTTGTTTATTGTCTATTAGGCAGGAAAGAAGAAAAATTTATTAATATTAACATTCGTTTATGCATTTATTTTTCGAAAGTGGTGGCATTAATCTCTTTTTAACTGACCTTTACTTTCTTCCCAGAGTGCGCAAGAATACAAACGATTAGTTGAATCTCTTTATCCTCATACATATAATCCTAAAATGAGTTTGAATATTAGTGGTGTGGAAGATGACAGGTTCTCACAAAGGCTTGACACTGTTGGAAAAGACGGGAAAAGCAACAAAGTATGTTTTTTGTTCAATCTATTCTTCCATTCAGTTTGCTAATATTAATCTATATGTATAAATAACAATAATGGTTTTCTGATTTGCTTTCACTCATATTAGTTCTAAAATACCATATTAAACTTTAAGAACGTTGCTTGCTATAGTATAACAGAAGTAATCAGAATATTATTATTAAAATTAATCTTAATTTTTAAATAGTTTAAAATTTTATACTTCAGCAATGCTTTGCATACAGAACATTTTGGGTTCAAGCTCTATCATCCTAACTAGGGTTGAGCAAATAAATCTTGGAGCTGGTAAACATATATTACTAATCTATAATCTGTTTTTAAGTTAGAAGTTATGTGTACACACGCATACACACACTCACTTTGCTGTAGTTCTATAAAAAAACTGTTTCTATTTCAATATTTGTGATGCCCATGTTGTGTTTTATTTGAGGTTTTACCCATGCCTTTTTATATGTAGTTTTTTTAATACTAATTTGTTTTGTTATTCAATTATTTCAGAATAATTCACTGGATGATGATACAAAAAAAGTTATTGTTGATCAAATAAATGAGGTTGGACAAAAGGACAATGAACCAAAAGGAGGTAACCTTTTGTGTATTTGGCCCCCATCACTAGGTATTTTAGAATTTTTCATTGAGTTTTTAAATTTTTTAGAATGTGGAATGGGAAAAGTGTGACATAAAAAGAGGTCTGTTATAGTTTTTATTATATGATAAAGTAGACCACAACCTACTACTTGATAAGATAGAAAAATGTGGGTTAGACAGCATCACCACCAGATGGATTCGTAGCTGGCTGACCGGCCATACTCAGTATGTGGTCCTCAATGGAAACCCATCTAAATGGAGGGAAGTGTGTAGTGGGATGCCCAGGGCTCTGTTCTGGCCCCAGTGCTCTTCAACATCTTCATCAATGATTTGGAGGAGATAGATGGAGAACTCATCAAATTTGCAGACAACACCAAGCTGGCAGGAATAGTCAACGTTCCAGAAGATAGGCTTAAGATACAGAAGGATCTTGACAGACTTGAACATTGCGCGCTATCTAATAAAATGAAATTCAGTGGTGAAAAAAGTAAGGTTCTACATTTAGACAAGAAAAATCAAATGCACAGGTATAGTAGGTACCTTGCTCAATAATAGTGTGAGAGGGATCTCAGAGTCCTAGTGGACAATCACTTAAATATGACCAAGCAGCCTTCTGCAGCTGCCAAAAAAGCCAACAGAGTGTTAGGCTTCATTAAAAGAGGGATAGAATCAAGATCACGTGAAGTATTAATACCACTTTACAATGCCTTGGTAAGGCCACACTTGGAATACTGTATCCAGTTTTGGTCACCAAGATGTAAAAAAGATGTTGAGACTCTAGAAAGAGTACAGAGAAGAGCAACAAAGATGATTAGGGGACTGGAGGCTAAAGCATATAAGGAATGGTTGCTGGAATTGGGTATGTCTAGTTTAATGAAGAGAAGGACATGATAGCAGTATTCCAATATCTCAGGGGCTGCCATAAAGAAGAGGGAGTCAAGCTATTTTCCAAGGCACCTGAAGGCAGGACAAGAATCAACGGATGGAAACTAATCAAGGAGATAAGTAACCTAGAACTAAGGAGAAATTTCCTGACAGTTAGAACAATTAACCAGTGGAACAACCTGTCTCCAGAAGTGATGAATGCTCCAACACTGGAAGTTTTTAAGAAGAGACTGGATAGCCAGTTGTCTGAAATGGTATAGGGTTTCCTGCCTGAGCAGGTGGTTGGACTAGATGACTTCCAAGATCACTTCAAATCTTATTATTATTGTTATTATTTATTTATTTATGTATTAAGCCACAGATGTAATAGTGATTGATTGTAATAGTTTCTTTATTGATTCTTCTTTTGTATGTAAGTTTTAACACAGACATTGGAAATGAGGGAAAACTTTCAGAAGCAACTCCAAGAAATCATGACTGCCACATCATTAGCAAAGTTGCAAGGACAAAGAAACTCCTTATCTAGGAATGGTTTTGAGAATTCTCCAACAACTCCAGATGGACCCCGTTCTGTTCGTAATGGCCGCAGTAGAATCTTGGAAGCTTTAAGGTAGCTACTAGCCAGAATGTCTTAAGATTTCAAGGCTGTAATCTTAGGAAAGCTGTTCAGAACAGCTTAAGTTATGTCCTCATTTTTTCCTAACACTTGCTGCATATCCTCATGTTTCAGGCAGTCACGTCATGGAGCAACTGATGTCAATACTGAGCCATCCCAGAATGAACAGATAATTTGGGATGACCCTACGGCAAGAGAGGAGAGAGCAAGGCTTGCCAGTAACTTGCAGTGGCCTAACAGTCCTTCACAGTATTCAGAACAAGTTCAAACTACTGCAGTGACCCCAGGAGAACTTTCACTTAGAAAGTCTGTAAGTGATACAGAAATTGTTGAAATGGGTAAGTTGCAGCATAAATGGCAGAATGGCATTTCAGCATTTGAGTTGCAATTTCATTATCACATGAGAATCTGTAGTTAAAACTTTTGCACATTTTAGCCTTCATTTTTTATTTGTGACATGGAAGATATCTGGGCTGAATTAGGTATATTGCTGTCATTTCATGCTTGACTTCTTGTGGACCTTCTAAAATTTATGTACAAAAGCAAAGAGTCACATAGTGAAAGTTGCCTGAATTATTTCTTGTTATTTTGTAAATGAGCACTTTAAATGCTTTATTCTTTTTAATAAATCTCTGCATGGAAGGTAATTTTTGTTGTTTTTATGTTTTTATAGTCTTAATGAATTTGACATCTTTTCTCATGCAAAATGTTTGGATTGAGAAATTTGTATTGAGACTGAAATAGAATTTAGAACATGTGTTTGTGGCATGAGTTTGGATTAACCTGATATTCATCTTATATGTAATAGAGTTTATATTGTATATATTGTTATTCCATGTGTAAATAAAGCTTAGGTTGTAGCCTTAATCATGTTTATTCAGAGGAAAATCCCATTTATGTTGAAATAGTTACCTACAATTAAGTAGGTAACTGTCTTGGAGTATAGGAAAGGAGTATTTATGCTCCTGTTTGACTGGTCCATTTTTACTTGCTTTTACTCAGTAAACTATTCAATTTCATCAAATATGAAAAATCATGCACTAATATTTTTCTGATTTAAGGGATTAATGATTCAACGAAAATTGATTCAGTTGAGGTTGCAAATCTTCTAATTAGAAATCCAGAAACGCCAATAAAAGAAGATCACCTGATCCCAACTCCATTGGCTCCTGCTATTGCTTTTCCATTGGCAAATCCTCCTGTCGCTCCCCAGCCAAAAGGAGATGTATGTTCTATCATGGTAAATGGATACATAGAATAACACATAAATTGAGAAATTTTATCTCTAGTTTGACGTGATCTTAGATTTTGCGAATAAGATAATCTTAAATTTTAGATAATAGATATACAAGACAGAAAAAATGTTCATTTCAATTGTTTCCCAGCATTTACTTTCAATCTTGTAATTTCTTCTACTTGTTAAAGAGTAATGAAAATATCGAAATCAAACAGGAAGTAAATTAAAAATAATGGGTATTGCTTCACAGAATTTGAACTGGCTATGAACTTAGTTCTCTCATTCTCCATGTAGACCAATGATACAATTTGCTGAAATCTTTATGGAAAATCACCTGGAAGACAGTTGGACAGGCCTTTCAATCAAATTGATTAGTTGAAATTCTCTTCTTACTCTGCCAGAAATCCTTTTCCTTGATTAAAATTTAGTTGAAAGCCTGGGGAAAGTAAAATCCTGCCAATGCTGCAAAGTCCAAAGGTTAAGTTAAACATCAAAATTCCTAATAAATATTCACAATAGCTAAGTCTAATATATTTGATTGCAATTGGCTATTTCTGACTTTATTCTTCCTGATGAAGAAAATAGAGATTGGAATTGAACTTGTCATCTTTAGTAATATAGAGAAAGGTAATATCTATGTGGATGCCTTTAGAATGACCTAGAAAAAAAAATCCTACTCTTCTCCATAGGCGCAGGCCATAATCTTGATTTCAAATGTATGCACAGATTTTACTAATTCAAATAAATAATTTCCAAAATATAATTCTGTTAATCTGTTGTATGAAAAACAATAGTCTAATAGGACGTAGACATCTAACAAATGATTAGATTGTAAACTTTTATTTTGCAAGGCTTATGAGCCATAAAACTGTTTGATTTAATGTGTACTTGTGTTTTAATACTCTTTTGCAATAATAATAATAATAATAACAACAACAACAACAACAGTCCTGGTTAGAAAGACCAAAAAATGACACTGAATCATTAACAGATTCTACTTATCAAGGAAAATGTGTAGGCATGGAAGTACATTAGATGGGAAGAATATCTGAAGGACAGTGAAGAAGATACATTGAAGTTAGTATACCAGGAAGGCTTACTGACTATTGGAGAGACCAAACTGGCCTACAAGAAAGACCAAATGAAGAACAGAATGGAAGTATGGGAATACAAAGCATTACATGGCCAATACGGGGGGGGGGGGGGACAGAGAAAACAGATATTAACAATACTTAGCAATGGCTAAGAGCAGGAAAGTTGAAGAAAAGACAAAGCAGCTAATTCTGGCTGCACAAGACCAAGTCTAAATAGCAAATGCATATTATCAATAAAAAAGATAAAAAAAAGTCTGGCTAGTAGACATGGCAATACCTGAAGACAGCAGAAGAGAAGAGAAAGAATTTGAGAAAAATCACAAAATACAGAGACCTGCAAACAGAAGTAGAATGACTATGGCAGAAGCAAACAAAGGTAGTGCTAATAGTAATAGGTGCCCTGGGTGCAATCCCAAAACAACTGGAGCACCACTTGAGCACCATGGGCATTGACAAATTCACTGTCAGTCAATTGCAAAAGGCGGCTTTACTCGGAACAGCTGCCATCCTGCAACGATATCTATAACACCATCAAACATCCGCATCTGCCTATCTTACGTCCTTGGAAAGGACTCGATAGGTAGACCAGTGCCAAATCCAGTATGAACATCTGTCTGACGGTGCAATGAACAACAACACTAATAATAACAATCATTATTAAATACTAAATTGTAATTACAGTAATAAATGGCAATGTAGTAGCACTGAAATGTGTGAAAAATGGAATAAGATAACCTGCTTCTTAAATGACTAGAACTGTAGTCATGATGGTTTAAGTTAGATAATTTACTCTAAATTTATGTTAGATGGCTTGCTAAATATATGCAAGATTTTTTTTGTGTAGGAAGGATATTGTTGATGAGAAAGCATCCTATTCATCCTTTAATTATTTTTCTTTTATTTCATATTCAGGTCACTAAAATTGACCAAAGGGACTATGAAGAACCAACAAAAATGCACAGATTTCAGCTTTCTTCTCTTAATCCACAGGAAAGAATTGATTATTACCAGCTAATTGAAGAACTAGGTAGGTGATGTATAGAACTTTTGGAATGTTGTATCTAGATTTTGTTGCTGCATTCCTCATAGAGACATATTGAACCATGTTTCTTTTGAACTGCTTTATTGAATAATTCTTAAATTCCTAAATTTGCTTTTCCTTCAGAAGGCATTCTGTTTTAAAATAACAGTATAAACATATATTCTTTAGGGGGAGTGGTGTTGGAGAAGCAATGCTTTGATTCGAGCTGCACACATACAATTGTGGGACAGCCTCTTCGCAATGAAAAATTCTTGGCATCAATGGCAGCAGGAAAATGGGTGCTTCATCGTTCTTATTTGGAAGCATGTCGAGCAGCAAGCAGCTTTGTAAAGGTATTCAACATTATTAAGAACATTTAAAATTCATTAACATTTTAATGTAATTTACACTCTAGAACATAATGTCCCAATCTGTATTTCATGGTGAACAAATATTTCTTTGAATCCGACCAGTGTATACATATATATAGATATTCCCACCAAAATATTAACTGTTTGACTTTTGAAGACAACAGTACAAACCAATCTCCCTTACTGTCTAAAAAGGCAAGAAATCACAGAATTCAAAGTCATTGATAAGTAGGCTTTTTCCAGTATGTTCTTTCAGTTATTTTCCTTACCTTCCTTAGTACGCACTTTACTTAGCCATTCTTCAACTAATATCTCCTAATTAAAAATATTTCTCCTATCTACTTGTCTATGGATATTCTCAGTCATCCAGATCATGGTTGTCCCATGAGAACATGGCCAGAGAATTCTCTCTGAACTGTCATTTTTTTTCCAACTTAACAACAGAAGGAACAGGCTTCCTTTTATTTATTTGACCTTCCTGGATTAGGGAGAGTCCCAGAATCATCCCTCAAGGTCCTCCAATAACAGCAATAGTCTGCAAGCAGTTTTAGAAACTTTGCTTCAAAATAGCTGGTGAGCTGAAACTGGGTGGTGGGTGGTGCTGAAATCACATCATTGTTTGATAAAATAGCCGTTTTGGAATTTACTTTTCGAATGGACAGTAAGCTGTTCCCTTCATTTCTTAATCAATTTATGAGACTGTTATCTCTATTAGCTAAAAGAAGGTCTCTTTAGTTACAATTTATCATTCCTTTTTGAAGCTATACGCCATCTTTGAGAGTCCTTTATTGTTAAACAACAAGGAAGAGGGTTCCTGAAGGCAGGTAAAATAAGGAAACATGGAGTATTTTTTTCTTTTGAAATATAAGAATAAAAGTTGTAGTCTTAATTTACTATTTTTAAAATAATCTGCAGCCTTGTGTTGTGGCTGAAATTTTCCGATTTTCATGAACTCTGGCTAGAAAAAGGGAAAAAATAAAGAACATTTTTGACCACTAGAGGGAGCTATGAAGATGTTTAACTCTGTGCTGGAGTCTGTCATTAAGGAAATCTTTGAAAATACAGAAAACATTTATACCATAAATCACTGGGGTCCAAAGATTATAATTATATAGAAGACATTTAAAAAAGAACATTATCAACCCACTTTATAAAATTATCAACCCACTTTGATAAATGGGTTGATAATGCTGGATAACTCAAATAACCTAACTCTTACCTTTGGAATGTAAAGCTGACACCAATTTTCATTATGATGATGGTTTGAACATAGTCCTCTCAGTGCAGCTGAAACAAGAATGTCAAGTAAACTCACAACCCCTAAGAGGTCAAGTTTGGAATTTTTTTCCTCATGGATACCAACAAGGTCGAGAACTACTTGAGAAAAACAGATATGATAAACATCAGAGAAGGAAACTTCATTCTACAAGGATTTGCTCCAGGTTAATCTACAGTATCTAACAGAACAATCTTGGGACAATTTTTCATGGATATAAATAATGTTGAGACTTGATAAATACCCTTAAGAAAAAAAAGATTTCATTCTATGAAGACAAGCTAGAGGGAGTGAGTTAAATTTAATGATTTAATTAATTAGGATAGATTTTTATAAGTTTGATATATATATTGAAAGAAGCTTTAAGGTAGCTTTGTATGTGTAAAATTAGTTTGTAAATGCATGTCTTCTGTCTTTTTATGTAATGTTGAGAAAGTTCTAATGTAATTTTAGGTTCCCCCCCTCCTTTATATATAATGCTTGAGTACAGGTAATCCCTGAGTTACAAACGTTTCCTTAGCGAATGTTTGAAGTTACGTGACAAGCGCCCCATAATGTTTACAAAAATGTCCCAAAATTATGAATGTTGCCACACCACGGCAGTTGTTCACCCTTACTAACGACCGTAGTGGCACTGCAACATTCACCCTGGCTATTCCTTCACTCAGGTCTCCCTAGGCATTAGACCTGTGGATACTCATCTTGCGAAGATTGAAAGATCCTGTGCTTTCTTGGCTACTCCAGGCCTTTGGTCATTCACAGAGAATGGAGGCCTAAATTAACGTAAGATCACGCAAGAACAGTAGCCTGAGATCTCACACTACTGATCTTGTATGATCTCATGGTAATTTAGGCTTCTGTTCTCTGCAGCAGAGAACGGAATGGAAGCCGGGAAATGCTTCCGCTGGCCTCTGGAAGCCAGACCCAGGTTTTGGAGACCTTTTCTAGGCTGCTGCTCCTTGGAAAGGAGGTGGGAGGCTGCTTCTGTGCCTCCAGATGCCCGATCCGGATGTCGGATGCCTTTTCCAGGATGTTTCCCAGAAAGGAAGCCAGGGGATGCTTCTATGGGCCTCCAGAGGTCTGTCCTGGGCTTCAAAGGCCTCCTCCAGGCCTCTAAGGCCCAGAAGGGAGGCTGTGGGCGGTGGCCGCATGCTTTTGGAGGCCGTTCTGGGCCTCGAGGCCTCCCTCTGCTTTTGCTAGGAATAGAGAAAGAGAGGCTGGAGAGGAGACAGATCTTTACAAGGTAAGTGACCTGTGCGGCAATTAGGCAAGGAAGCAA